GGGGGGGGGGGGGGATGGACATGTTCACTAAGTGTCTTTTAATACTGATTAAATTACTGCTATTTAACTTCTCAGTGGAATTAAAAAAAAAAAAACTACTTTTGTTATCCTCTTATTGACTCTCACACTTTAACATGCAGCAAGTTCATTTTTTCTTCAACTCTAACACAATTGGAATATGTGGTCTTCTTAACAAAAGATAACATTGGTGGTATGTTGTCTATAGCAAAGGAAAAATAGTTCGAAATTTGTGCACACATTATTTTGAAGTCACTGTGTTGAATAAAGTTTGACAATCGTAAATACTGTACATTGTAACTAGCAGGCCAAAAAAAAACAAAACAAGCTAGTGAATAAACAGAACCTGTCTGTGATTATAAATATGAATAATTTCAGCATGTGGGTTGTCTAAATACAGTGGGTATAAAAAGTCTACACACCCTCTAAAATGATGAGACAATATTTATAGCATAACAACATATACATCTGCTAATGCCCCTGGACAGCTTGTCAGTGATGTTCTTGGAATTGTGTGTGTTTATGTTTTATTGTATCATCATTTTAACGGGTGGGGAACTATTAATAAAATGAGTGTGTATTGTTGTTTTCAAATGACCTTTTTGTCAAGTCAAAAGACCACCACGTATTTACTCAAATTGCCCCGCTATTCTAATTTGCATTCATACTCTCAACTCAAAAAAAAAATAAAAAATACGCAGTCGTGTAGATTTTGACACACTCTTGCCATTTTTTTCACTGCACGCACGGCTCTGATTTGACTTTACTCAGCTCTACTGACCGCATCATTCACAACGAAACATGCTACGAAACCACAACAGAGGAGAACTTTTCGGTATCGGTTCGCGAACATTAACTTGTGTTGTTGTCATCTCTTTGGCAAAGACAGTGTGATCAAATATTGTCATGTGAAAGCGGTTTATAAATAAAGATGGATTGTGTTATGAGTGAGGGACTCTCTTTGGCTACCAACTTTTCCTCTAGCTCTATTTTGAAGCAGCGCACAAAGTTGTGGTTTGGACCATTTCACCTGTTGGAAACTATTTGTTTTTGTTTTTTTACACGGACCATCGTCACTGCTTCCACATTTATGATGAACGTTTTTACTGACATTTCGCTCAATGTGTGCAATGAGAGGGATGTGCGTGCAACGCCGCGTTATCCACACGTAGGACATTTGTGGTCAGTTGCACAGCCCAACACTGCCCGAAAACACCAATAGGCTGAATAATGGTGCTGTTTTGCTCCCGTGACGTGTAGTGAAGTGATCCGAGGCAGCGTAACACTCGGCGAATTAATCGCCCATGTGACATGCCACAATAATATTGAAATGCGGAAACGTTTGTCGGTTTAAAAAAAAAAAAAAAAAAGTGAGCGTGGTGAGAAAATTGCGCACGTGTGGTTTTGTGGCTTCAAGCTTTTTAAACAATGCCTGCAAGCTTGAAGGCGTGCAGTTAGGCATACAGCGCTGTAGCCTCTCTTTTTTTCAACTCGATTCTTAAGCATGCGCAGCGGAGATCCGCGCGTGTCATCTACACACTGGTGTCCACATATGCATTCGAGCAAAGACACATGGGCTGTGAGATTGATTCGGGTGTACAGTATTTGCATGCAAACATGCATGGTTAGAATATATTCTCAGAGTGTGCATAGATATGCAGGTCAGGTAAAAATATGCACAGTGAGTCTCCTACAATTGGATAAACACGAGCTTTTTAAATCACATGCACACACTCCTATGCAAAGCTCGGAAGACGACCCTGCATGGCAGAAGCATTTCCATACAAATGATTATTATTATTTTTTTTTTTTGGTTCGTATACAGGAAATGATATACTGCTGACATTTAGCTCTTCCTCTCTCTCCCAGCAGCACATGGTGAAGAACTGCGTGTCAGAGATTCAGTGTATGAATTATTAATGGTACAGATTAAGTGTGCCAGGACTCACTGTGGAGCCTGTTTGTTTTATTTAAGCATAATTATTTAATGGCATTTCGGATGAGGAGAGGAGGGAGGACAGGGGGAGAGGAGGTTGTCAGGGAGAGATAGGCTTTGTTTGGACACTAATTGGTAGTGAAATAATTACGAAGTGCTGGAAGCTTAACTCGACTCAGACAGGGCGGGCCTGAAGCGTTATCAAACTTCCGCTACTCCTCTCTTATCTGTTTACGATGTTCTCTTCGTCAATGAGACTTTTGTGTTTCGGATTAGTTTCCATTTTTCTGTTTTGTCATCTCCCTTAATCGCTCTCACATATACGCAAAAGCCTCGTTGGTTGTTATTTCTTGTCTCATCTCGGGCCAAGACATTGCATCGGCGTGTAGTGCACAGTGCATAGCGGTGCGCGACACAATCTGCTGCCACCATCAGTTTGCCATCCAGGCAAACAGGGTCTGACAGCAAAGCTGACGCCTGGCATGCATCCTTGCGCGCGTGCACGCACACACACACACACACACACACACACACACACACACACACACACCCCTACATCGGCAGGTCATTGTTTAGCAGTAAACGTCTACCTTATCTGCCAAGCTAAACCTCTGCTATAGTTGACTCAGCAGAGACAAATAGCTACCGGTACCAGTTATTTTGTCTGCAAACAATTTTCGGCTTAGCTACAAACAAACTGGCGTTTTGCGTGGTATCATTCGTGTCTGTTGGAGGTAAACAACACAAAATGGTTCAACAAACACTTGCACGCTTAAATTTGAAGCATAATTTAGAATGAAATAAGCTTCTTCGTAGGTGGTCGACTGGTTAGCGCATCCGCCTCACAGTGCAGAGGTGCAGGGTTGGATTCCGGCTCTGGCCTTCCTGTGTGGAGTTAGCATGTTCTCCCCTTGCCTGCGTGGGTTTTCTCCGGGTACTCCAGTTTCCTTTCACACTCCAAAAGCAGATGTGACAGGTTGTGAGCGCGACTGGTTGTTTGTCTGCGTGTGCCCTGCGATTGGCAGGCAACCAGGTCAGGGTGTATCCGGCCGGCCTAGTGCCCGAAGACAGTTGTGATGGACTCCAGTACACCCGCGACCCTTGTGAGGACAAGCGGATTAGAAAATGGATGGATGGATGAGTTTCTTGGACCTAGATGAATACATTTTGTTTTTCGCTTGGATTCTTGGTCCAGGAACAACCTTTCCCATCCAGTCAGACTTTAATCTGATGGAGTGATGACATTTTGAACGGATTTTGAATGACTTTTACTCTTGTTATCGTGATGACTTTATTATTATGTTTCCAAGTCTCTTTCACGAAACACACAAAGAACGTATTACCGACGACCCGCGTGAATCCCTCTGTGCATGCAGTAAGTGATATAAGGCCACAAGAAGAAATACGGTGCTTTGCTTTTTAAATCAGTCATTCGTTTTACGGAAATTCCCAAATAAAGTAAAAAAAAAAAATAATTGCAATGTGAGATGTGATCATGTTCCTGCGATGCTGCAGCTGTACTTCAAAACAAACTTTTGATGAAGTGTTGTCATCCTCTACACGTAGAGGCACGTAGATAACGCTTCCACCGTTATCTGAGGGCTGCTTCAACGATCGCACGCGGATGTTTTCCCTTCCCTTCTGCCACATGTTGACAGACTAACTAATCGAATATTCTCTCTTTGAAGCAGTGCCGCCGGATCCACCCATGTGTGAAGCAGGGCTTCGCGTGCGCGTGTGTGAATGAGAGATCCATTTTTGGCCCTTACCCAATGTCTTTGTGCCCTTACTTGTTTCCTTGTGTACTTGCGAGTGTTTATTTACATGTGTTGTTGCAATTACTTTTATGACTTTCACACGTGTGTGTGTGAGTGCTTGTGACTGTAGGCGGCCTCGTGGAATGAAATGTTGTTTATGCAGTTTTATGCGAAGCAATTATGTTGACTTTAATTGGGTTTGTTGATGTGGGGAGCGTGCCACCTCCAGTCATGTATTACCGCTTCTTTTGTCAGCTACAACCAACTCATGCACACACATGCGCACATGTAAAAAAAAAAAAAAAAAAATCATTAAGCAAACAAACTTATCTAAAATCTACATATTGTTTCCGCTGCATGATACCATCTTGTCCACAAAAATAATTTTGTTACTGGATTTGCGGCTCAAAAGTGCCAGCCTTTCGTTTTTGTAACGTTGCACGGCACTGGGATTTAAACAGTGAATTATGCACATCATCAGCAGCCAGTTTGGAGGGTGGGGAAAACTGTTTCAAAGGCCTGAATTCAAAGATAAAGGTTAAATTTGCTGCTCTCTCTCCTTGCTGCAAGCCAAATCAATCCACTATGCTCCTTGTCTGCCATTGTCCTAATCAGACTCTCAACTTCTTATTGGATTTCAATGGGACTTGCACAGTCCAAAGACATGCACGAGCACCGAATCGATGATCCCCAAATGGCTCCGGTTTCCTACAGGGGATGGTTCCCATGTTTCCATGCTCACACAAAGAGCTGGCGCAGGGTCAAAAGACTCAGCATGTCCTCTGGAAGTGCATTTGTCAGATAATTGATCGTTAATACACAAAACCTGATGGCTCTTGTCTTTTGGCAAGGATAGGATAGTAGGATTCCTTTGGCAACCTATACAATACACAGTTGGATTTCTGCATGTTCATATTCTGACTTTTGTCTTCTTGAAGGCTCCACCTCAAACCCACAGAGCTCTGGGAATGGATCGGATGGATCCCGCCCACCAGTCACCCGCTCACCTATGGCTCAAGAGCGCGGTATGTACACACGATACTAAACTTGAGCAAAGTGCAGCCTGAAGGCCACATCCGGCCCGCCCACTGTCTCTGACTGGCCTTCGCGGAGACCGTGAAGTCAAACGTAAAATATGCGGTCGGTGCTATTATTTTCATGCGCACGTGACATTAGTCCAAGCAAATGTAGTACTACTGTATCATTATACATCACTGTCAATATTATTCTCCTGTGCATTCCATATATCTACATGCTGCATTTTCCGTACTGTAAGGCGTTTCGGAGTATAAGGTGCACCTTCAATGAATGGCCTATTTCAAAACTGTTTTCTTATATATGGTGCACCGCATTATAAGGCGCATAGAATAGAAGCTACAATAGTGGCTGCGGTTGTGTTATGCATCCACTAGATGGTGCTACGCTTAAGTGAATACAATACAATACGATACAGTTTATTTATATGGAGCTTTCACAACCACCAGCTGGAACAAAGCGCTTTACAGAACATTTAAAATGCAACATCCAATAAATCAGAATATTGATCCATATAGAAGGCGCATCGGATTATAAGGCACACTACCGTCTTTTGAGAAAATTGAATGCTTTTTATGTGTAAGGCACACATAAAAAACATTCAATTTAGTGCGGAAAATTCAGTATTTAGGAATCCTGACATGAGACAGCTAATATGAGTTGGCAGTCAGAATTTTGGACATGTAAAGAGATCATTTTAATGACCGCTCGTCATTTTGTTTCACATTTCCACTTCCTAATTGTCGCAACATATACAATGTCTGTGCATGTCATCATCAGTCAGACAGAGAGGGGGAGCTGATGAGGGTGGCTCCTGTGGAAGGTTATTTCCAAATCCAGTTGGAGATTTAATGCTGCTCTCTAATGCCTCTAAACTCTCCCTATTGTCGTCGAAAGAAAATACAACACTGGTTAAAAGTGAGATTTTTTTTTGTGTGATTTTCTCGAGCAAGAATTATGCCCCCCTCGCGCGCACACACACACACACACACACACACACACACCCACACAACACACACACACACACACACACACACACACACACACAACTCCCCCACCCAAATACACCCACTTTGCTCAAGTGCTTGCCTCCCTTAAGAGCCTCACTCATCTCTTCATTTCGATAAATATGCTGAACGTCCCTTCCCACTTTTTCCCATGTATGCTTTGCCGGCTGCCTCCTTTGTTCACTCGGCCAGGAAGAGGGAGAGCTTTGTGTGTACGTGTGTGTCTTTGTGTGTATACCGGGGGAGTGAACCGAGCAGAAAGACAGAAATCCTTGAATGTGTTATTTGCTTTTAGCGCTTTCGACACATTGTTCTTCTCCTCCATCTATTTTCCAGGCAATTTAAAGTGCGGTATTACACGCTTTTTTTTTTTTTCCTCCTCCACATCTCCTCTCCCAACATCCTCTCATCCTAATGGAAGCAAAACATTACAATAATGTCCTCGCTCCTTAAACCCAACACTCGCAGCCTAAGCACTTTCGGGCCCCAATCACTGCTCTTTCCCACCCACACACACTTTTTTCTCCAACTGTTGTGGCCTCCGTCTCTCTCTCCCATATACGCGCAGCATTTATTGCTTGCGTCGTCTGTTATCTGCCCCCATACAGTCAGAGGCGCAATTACGGGCATACAAGCGAGCAGACACACTCGCCGGCCAATGCATTAGGTACACATGCGGCACAGTCTAATGTAATCCAAGACATTATGCCTTTCCAAAGAAAATGATGTAAAGTTTCAGCTGCCACTGTCACTGTGGTTGTAGTTTACGGCGGTGTAGAACTTTATATTTTGCGCCATTCACTGCGTTTTATGGAATAGCCTACATGCTAATCTGTCGAAAATTGGACATAATTTTGGAAATACTTGAACAGCCTATGTTATTTTATTCTGAATAAAAAGTGCAGTTGAACCGCAATAATAAGCAAATTACTACCACTTGAAATATCGATGAAAAAAAAATCATTGCACTACATCTTTCGACGCGATTCTTGTGTGGGGAGCACACCAACTGTTGTTCCTTGCACTTTCACCTCCAGCATATCCCCAAACTCGCCAAAGACTTGCTCCTGGATGCTCTTGCAACAATATTGATGCTTATCAACGTTTACATTCAAGCGTACTAATCCGTTTCCACCTAGTTTGACACGCAGACACACACACTTTATCCTCTTTCAAGGGCCATTCAGCAACCTTTCCCCATTTGTCTTGGATCGGGAGACCTTTATGTGGGTTTTAAAAAAAAGAACACGGTGGCTTGAGAGTGTGGATCCCAGACGAGGATTGCTCCAAATGTCAATTTGAATGGTAGAGGCGAATTTTAGCCTGAGAGGCTTTGAGGCACCTATTGACAGAGCCGCTTAGAATAATGAAGTAGCCATGGTCAAATCAGCAGCTTATTCTCTACACGCGGAGCACTTTGCCCACTTACACCACAATGTTTAAAGCCACCGTCTGCAAGGGGGGAGCTCAAGCTCACACAGCGTTTGCAAACTTTGAATTCATTTTACAAGACATTCTGTGACTCTAGTCCAAGTTTTTTGGGTTGTTTTTTTTTCTAATACCCGATCCCAATGTCTAGGGCAGCGGTATTCAATCCAAATTCATGTCAGATGTCACAAGAAAAATGTTCACCCTTTGGTGGATAAGCGACAGGACAAGCAATTTGGAGATACTGAGAGATGCAACTTGATAAGACAATTCAAATACAAGCTGCTAAAAAGTGTCTATTAACTTACAAGTTATACACACGTGAATGATGGTTACATATGTAACTACGATGACTACCATGAGTCCCTCACTTACCAGCTTCCTCACCACGCGAAGCATGCCCACACAGAGCCGCAAAACACGCAAAACGTCACCTTGGCGAATGTAAACAAAGCCGTCGCAGTCACAGGAGGGCGGAAAACAAATGCGCAGCTGCGACCTATTCGATCACAGGCTACTAGTGACGGAAAAACAGCCGAAGAGAAAGAACAACTCGGCTCCGCAGGGAAAAGCGGAAGCCAGTGGCATGCAAGCTAATGCACGAAAAGGTTCTGGGAGACTGTGTTCCGGGTGCCACGGGCCTTTAGATATGCCCCGGGTCACCCGCGGGTCACTAATGACGTTTGTTGCAATGCATTCTCAAGCTGCGAGTGGGGATTTTCCGTGCTTTAAGCACTGCCCCTGGCGGGCTGGAGTGACCTCATAGAACAGGAAGTTATCATCTGCTTTTTTTTTTTTTGCAACTGGCGTCCGCCCCAACCCGAACAGACATGTTGCTCGTCTCACGGCAAAGGGAGAAAAGAATATCAGAGAGAGAGAGAGAGAGAGAGAGAGAGAGAGAGAGAGAGAGAGAGAGAAAGAGAAAGTGTGCGTTTCTTATTCTTGCACTAAAGCAAAAAAAGGTTGGAATTAGAATACATTTTGTAAGTACAAAGAAACATATTGTGCAATTGCGAACCGGTTTTACCATTTCATTTCCGATCTGCTTTATCCTCACAAGGGTCGCGGGAGGTGCTGCAGCCTATGCCAGCTGTTTCGGGCAGCAGGTTTCCGCGCTCACACTCACACCTAGGGATAATTTCGAGTGTTCCATTAACCTGCCATGCATGTTTTTGGAATGTGGGAGGAAACCGGAGTACCCGGAGAAAACCCTCGCAGGCACGGGGAGAACATGCAAACTCCACACAGGAAGGCCGGAGCCGGAATTCAACCTTGCACATTTGCACTGTGAGGCTGACACGCTAACCAGTCGACCACTGGGCCGCCCAAGTAAATAGAGAAATAAAGTAAAATAACATTACAGTAGTACTCGGTCAATATAATAAACATGTCTTTGTCCGCCAACTAGGGGTGTAAGTATCTCTATGGATCAGGAAAAAGTGCTGACGCAAAAGAATGATCAATAGAAGGCTTCTATTTCTATGCGTTGAAAAAATATTGTCATTGTAAACACAAATTTAGTTTTCATTTCTGTGTGAATTTCAGGGTTCATGTCCAACATGCCGAGGAACCAGGCTGGCTCTCAGTTCCCTTTGTATCCCGGGATGGGTCCCTACTCCCAAAGTGGCCCCACAGGCCCTTATGGACCTCAAGAAACCCAGTATGGACATCAAGGTTAGAAAATTCACTGAATTGAGTTGAGAAAATTACAGTAGCACACAGTAAAGACACCACCCCAAAACTGAATGTGCACGGCAGAATATTTTGTCAAATATCAAGTCCTTGGAGACATTCGAATTGCATAAAACAACTCATTTTCCATGACGAGGTTTTTGTTTGAAATAATAATAATGAAAAACACTTTTTGTGTTGCCTTGTGTTGTTCATAAAAGGTCATAGAGGATTTTGGCCTCTGAATGGCAAACCACATTTTCTTTTCCATTTTCTTTTCCTTTTTTTTTTTTTTTAAATTGGCCCTTCGTTCGCAGTCACACAGGGCCTTGGCATCAGTGTCATTGCTTTCAAAGAGAGCGTGCTAATGAGGAACATAAAAGGATTCATTTTGAAAGACACATCCATCCTCTTTTCGTCTCCCACACACACACACACACACACACACACACACACACACACACACACATAGAAACACAAAGTCGTAGCTTGTCTTGTATGGCAAGTATTAAAGTGTGACTCTCTGTGGGTGTGACTCTCTAAATATTAATGAGACATTTGAAGTGCAGACTAACCTCTTAGCCCTCCTCATGCAAAGATGGTGAGGTAGCCCCAGAATGGTAATCATTTCATCAAGGTTTATCCGCGGAATCGTGATATATTAGCCCATGTCTTCAGATGGCTCCTGGCACATTTTCACATCAGCTTCTCAGAAAGCGTGACAGTGTCTGATCGGTATGTGGCGGTTCCTTATTCTTTTGGGTTTAGCCCTTTGGAGTGCACTTAAATACTTAAATTACATTTGAATCGTGTCACTTTTTAATTGTTTTCATTATGGGTAATTGCTTTCAACATGACAAAATGTTTTGATCGACTGACGACGTCACGGTTCAATTGCTTGACTTTTATACAAGCAGCATGGGTTCAATTCCTACTCAGTGACAGTGAATGCGAGTGAGTGACTGGCTACAAGTTCTGGCTGTAATCTGCCTTTTGCCAGAAGTCAGCTAGCGTAGGCTCCATTCAATTCAAAGTCCCTAAAAGTGGCATCATTGGGATTTTACCCGAAATTTTATGGGGGAGAAAAATACCTCAAATCTCAAAACTTGCTCTATATATATATATATATATATATATTGTATGTGTGTGTGTGTGTGTGTGTGTGTGTGTGTGTGTGTGTGTGTTTAATTTTTTTTTCTCTGTAAGAAATAACTAGTGTGCTGTAATTACTTTGATAGCGTTAGCATCATAGCTTGTGGTTGACACAACACGACACACAATTGGGCTGCAAACTAGATGTGACATCAAAGCTGATGTTGAGAGAATGTGCTGATGTGTTAAATGGAGAGCGAAAAATCAACAACAAACAGCAACACTGACCTGAAAATGTTCAGCGGTTGAAGATTTTTACACTCCCTAATTCATGTCCCTCTAAAAGGGTGTCAAATTGTACACTGTGCAATTTAATAAATAAGCTCAAGCCTCAGTTATGGTGGAGATAGGGTAATATCGGTTTTCATCTTTGACCTTAATATAATTCTCCCTTTACACTGCTGAAAGGACATCCAAGTGTTGAGGGCTCCATCCATATATTGGTAATTTCCTTCTATCACCAACTGGTGAATTCAAATGGGCTTCCAGGACGTAGCCAGTACCCAAACCATCGTTATGAACCGAGTGGACAGCTGTTGGTAATTTTTCTTTCGAGGTGTGACAGCTCCAGCTGTTTCCCTTCCCTTTCCCTAGCGCACTGACAAATTAGTAAGCCATTATCCAATATTGAAAGGCTCTCCAAGTTCCTGAACTCTGTTCTTTGCTTTTCTTGGCCTGCCTCCTGCCCCGTATCAGGGGAACCCAAATCATTCGCCTGTGTGTGTGGTGTGCAATCGAACAGATACGGCAACGATACCTGCCACGCGCGTCCACAGACAGCTGATAGTTCACTGACAAATATCAATCTTTTCGAGCACAAATGGCAGCAGTTCACTTGTTGTTGTTAATCAAGAAATCACACGACAGCACACGGTACGGCGATATGTGTGGATACTGGAGGATCTTTTGTTGATGTCACTCCCCAGTTCCAACAGTTGTCCTGCAGTCCTGCGCATGGTCCAAAGCCAACACAGACTGACAGGGGAGGAGGATGTCATACCATTACAGGAAACGATTCAAAGTCCATCTGGGCTCTGTCCTTTCTTCCACCCATTGCTTCACTTCTTCCACGCACAAAGCAACCTCACCCAGCTCCCCACCACCACCCATCGCCGCAACTTATCCTCGAGGGGTTAAGCACTCCGTTGCTAATGACCATGCAGGCAGCACTTTTGAAACCTCAGTGCCTTGCAAAACCTGCAGAGTTTCTAAATTCTGGACACACACACACAACACACACAAGTCAAGACTCAAGCCACAGCCTGAGGGAGGGAATGGAGCATTTGGGAGAAAATTGTCATTGTGTGGAGCTCTCCAGACCTTCTTTGGTTGAGACATGCCAGGAAAGTTGCTGAGTTGGCTGAGGATGGATGCTGGGAGAGAAAAGGCCAAAAAGAGAAATTTCACATACTCACCATACGGTTCGGAACAACTGATTTTTATTTTTCTTTCTTTCTTTTTTTTTTCTTAATTAATTTATTTACTTGGGAGTGACACCCCGCCTGTTGTTTTTTTGTGTTTGTTTTTTGTGGAAACCACATTGAATGCTTTTCTGCTTTTTAAAAAAAAATTTAGGGCTTAAAGAAAGGGAAAAAAAATCTTTTTCCAATGCATTTCAATGGAATATGCCGGTTTATGACAAAGTCCCGTTTCTATGGCCCTAACACACCCTAAATTCATACGTAAATTGGAACACGCTGTTGTCTATCATTACCCTAAAATATATTAAATATACATTTGAAAAACACATCTACACCATTTATTCACGATCTTTCGTTGTCTAGCCAACACCTAAAATGGGATGTTATTATTTGGTGGGGTCCAAGACATGCAGAGTGTGCCGGTGTCATTGTCTTTGGCGTCTCCAGCACGCAGCCATGTAATCATCTTTCTAATCTATGTTGATGGAGCTCACAAATCAGAAAAGTGCATTGTTCACCATCACACATTGCTCCATCATAGCCAGGGGATGTGTGGGGCCAGGGAGAGGGGGTGTAGGGGTGGGGGGAATCTTGGGGGCCGTTGATGAGTGTCTCGGCTGTTAGACATGCCCAGTCCATCCTGCTGAGGGAGCAATAGACAGTAATCTGTTTGGTCACACTTGAGCTCTCCCAGGCGACTCCGAAGATTAAGACCAGCACTGAATATAGTGTCCGACCAAGGCGTGACTTTGCTGGGAATTTCCATGTAATTGTGAACGAAAAAGCATGAGCACTCTGTCTTTTTCTTTCTCTCCCTCCTGATGCTATAAATACTACCAAGAGTCCCTAAAGGCAGCAAGCGCCCGAAAAAGCAGTCAGCAAGTAGACAATGAGCCACACGGACAGAAAAAGGGACAAATTAAAAAAAAAAACAGACATTGTCCTTTTTTATTCATCTGTTCTTGGTTTCAGTTTGTATGAGTTGCATGGAACAAAAGGTAGCAAATCAATCACCTGTATGGTAATGCACCCATTTGAACTCATACAGTATAATGCACAGGTGTCAAAGTCAAGGCCCGGGGGCCAGATCTGGCCCGCCACATCATTTTATGTGGCCCGCGAAAGCAAATCAAGCATGTCAAGTTCAATGATGCTTGCTAAAGTCTGAACCAAAATTTCAAATTGTCATATGTAATCCACAATAAAAGTCATTATTCTTGACTTCTGATTTTAAAACTAGTTATCCATCAATTTGTTGTGCGCTGTGTATGTAATATGTGGAGGTGATTAAACATGTATATGGTTTCCCAAAATTCATAACGGCCCTCCAAGGGAAACCCTAACTTCAATGTGGCCATGTGATAAGAATGAGTTTGACACCCCTGGTGTAATGGTTCACATAGCAAGTGGCAACGAACCAATTCCCACTCTATACTCTATTTCGTCTCACCCAAAGTCACCTGGGATAGGCTCCAGCTCACACATGACCCTGATGATCCCAAGCGCTTTCGAAAATAGATGGATAGATTGTAGATCTTTTGACATTTCTACGTCATTGACCAAAGTGGTACCAGTCCCGAAAAAGCAAGCATTAGCTGGCCTCCAATTTCATTCTCAGTAAGTGTGGTATCCGTCCTTGAAGACAATCTCTTGGCAAAGTCGCAATCCTTCGGATTGTGAGTGATTCTTGTTGGGATCGAGTAAAACGCTCAGGAAAGCTTAGCAGGAACGTCTGCTTCGTCTTTCTTTTTGTCTACCGAGCCAACATCGTCCATGACTGCTACAATTTAAAAGACGCTACATCAGGGCAGCACTCTATTTAATGACATTTTCTTTTCTTTCTTTTTACCCGTCCTCCATAAAGCTCTGCTGTGAGAGTCGGCTTCACGTCACGTCTAAATAAAGACTGATGAAAACTTTTCAGACACCATAACTCACTTTTTAGGCTCTCCCACTGAAATAGGAAAAGAATGTAAATTGTCCAAATGGGACTTAGTAATCTGAACAACTCCGTAGGAGGTGTTCTGCAACTTAAGTCTGGTCTCAGAGGTCCGGAAGCCCAAAATGTCCACCCAGCCTATGGCGCCGAGCCATGACCTGGGGCTAAACAGCTGTCCGCAGACGGCCGTGAGAGGTTCTTGACTGGGGCGTCATTCATCTGCAACAAACTGTCCACCCAGGCTGATAGGAACGATACCTCAGGGCTCCATTCCCAGAATAGTCCACAGTGTTGGAGCCAGTTGATTATGAGAAAATATGTCTCTCATTGCTGCAAAGTCTCAGACATGGTAATCATGCGTTATGTCTGCAGCATTACTGGGCTGAAGACAGTACTGCCATGGGAACAGGTCATTTATAACTTTCAGATTCTCCATTCAGTCAAGACCTTTTTTTTTTTTTTTTTAAATTCATTAACTGGTCTTTTTCCCCACGGCGCATCCAGGAAATATAGACGAGTCAAGTGTAAACTTGAGATGCAAATTCTTTTCCCGTGGTGTTTGCAAAGCCTTGACAGGTGTCAGCTTACCGGCTCAGCAAAACCTGCTCAAAAATAATTCGGTTCTTCGCCCTCCCCCACCCCCGGTTCCAATCGTGGATTTTGTTACAATTTCTGGACAAATTCGACCACAGCTGTTCGCTTTAGGGGGAAGCCATTTATTTTGATCCAATATAAATCCCGTCTTTGGAGGACAGACATTTTACCCTGTCTGCAGTACTCTCGCTCTTCTCTGTCTGTTAGACTTGCACAGAAGAAAAAGAAGCCTTTTCCATTTTCAGAAACATTTTGCGGAATACTGTATTGTCATTCGGAAACACCATTGGAGGAAAAGCCTTCAAGTTTTAAAGGGACTTGATCCTCTTTTCCAGACATCTTCTCAGAGGATTAAGCAGGGCGGCCCTGCTAAAGTACCCATAATCAAATCAAAATAAATAGCCGCCGTCACATTGGAGGATGCCACACTTCCATTCTATACTTTTCATGGGATTTGTCCCAGGCTGGAATATCCTGGTGAAAACAGCCCAGTAGCTACAGGGCGGCATGTAATGTTCTCTGCGTGTGCGTCTGTGTGCGGTGTGTGCGAGCGTGCGTTCATTGCCTGCCTCCCTGTGTGTGCGTGTGTGTGTGTGTGTGTGTGTGTTGTGTACTGCACGTACTGTGTTTTAGTGAGACTGAATGTACGTACACATTGTCTTTGACAGCCTGGTGATTTTCTGTCAGCTCTCATTGCAGCAAGTGCTGGAGTGAAACTGGGCTTTTAGAGCCAAAATGGAGGGGTTTAAGTGTGCCTTAGGAAAGCCTCTGGCTTGGCAGGCATGCTGCACACCAGGGTAGCAAGAAAGCATTTACTGCAGATTAAAGCTTGTCTCAAGTGTTTCGCAAAGTCAGCCTTAAGCTTGGCAATCGTTCCCTAGGCGAATCAGCAACCTGCTGCTATGAAGAATGTCGCCAGACCAACACCAGCAAATGATTTCTGGCCTCCAGTAGAGGTGGTGTTAGTCGTGAATCGGAGTTAAACTCATTTCTTTATATTTTTCATTATTCTCCCATGGAGGGTTTACTAATTTGATGGATGATCTAAGTGTCACTGATGGAGGTGAAAGGGTGTCTGGCATGGAGCTGATACATCATACAATTTTGTTTTGTTTCATATTCATTTCAGTGACCGGTTCTCATGACTTTGTTCCAGTTGCAGCGGTTGTGAAGGCTCTATATAAATAAACCTGTATTGTATTGTATTCCCTTTAGCGTAGCTCCATCTAGTGGATGCATACACAGGCACTATTCTAGCTTCTATTCTATGCGCCTTATAATGCGGTGCGCCCTACATATGAAAACGGTCTTAAAATAGACCATTCATTGAAGCCGCACCTTATTATACGAAGCGCCTTCTAGCGCGGAAAATGATGCCCACCTGTCAGCTGATCACTGCACCCTCTCCTCACTAGGGAACTATCCTCGGCCCTCCAACTACTGTGGACCTACAAGTGCCAACTACAGTGTCCCTGGCCCAGGCATGAACAACAGTTTGGCCATGAACGCGAGCAGCCCCGTACACGGCCATGGCGCCGGTCAACCCATCCTCGGAGGACGCAATCATGGACCGGGAAACCACAACAGAGGGTACCCAACCGTGGCACCCAGCTCACCAGGCATGCCTCAGCCCGCAGGACCAGGAATGGGCCCTCCAGCTTCGGGCACTTCTAACCGTAAGACACAGGAGGCAGCGGCGGCAGCCACCGTGCCAGGCTCAATCAATGCAACGCACAGCAGGTACATGCAAACAAACGACATTACAATGGTCCTAAAAGTGGTACTGTCAAAGAAAGCAAAACGTGTGTGTCTTCAATTGATAGCTTGAGGACTGAAAGACGAAGTTAAAGCAATATGCTGATCTCCTTTGAAAATTCCAGTTCCCCAAGCCCCAATGCCAAAGAAAGGAATGAGGCCAATCACAGCACTTAATACACAACATTTGTCATTTTCCATTTTTATTTTTTTCTTGTCATATGAAATGCACTGAAGTAACTTTTATTGATATATGCAAAAGTACTCACAGAATAGATACTGTATATGCTCTACATTCAACTGCCGTGGCAGCATACCCACCGACACATTGCAGATATGAACTGTAAGTAGCATGATTGGATGATGAATAGGTTGCAATGGCCATGTGCTGATTGCTGCATCATTACATAATTGTCTTTCACTTTGTTTTCCAGCAGGACTAACTCCAATACTTCACCTCTACTAAAATAAGTAATCCGAGTGTTTCCCCTCTTACATCACTTCCCCTCAATTGGGGGCTGTGAGCGAAGGAGTTCATTCTCAGGGGTGCAACACTTCAATGAGCCATTTGTCAACTATCTCTATTTTCACCAAACTAGTCCAAAGCGTGACATTTTGATAGCGGGCGCTGTACACCGAGTGTCGTTTCATGCAGACAGAGAAATTATGGCTTGTGTGAAGCCTTGAATGCTGCACTGTCGAGACATAAAACGGGAGGAAACCGCAGGTTTGACGATGAAAACACAAGAGGCGGAGGAGCCGCCGAGCACCTTCACACGAATGCAAAGCACTTTGATGCCAGAACAGTATACGAGTTTTGGGATGTGCTTTTTTCCATCGGGGGCTGAATATATATTTAGTGTTTGCAATGCCGGGGCTGCTGTGGGATGCTAGGTGTGGGGGTGTGAACTCCTCCTGAACCTCGTCAAGGGAACTTGTACAAACATGGCCACCTTGAGAGAAGAAGGACGGGTGTCTGTGTTTCTTCCAGTTGGTTTTGTAAAACAGCGCAACAGCAGGGTAGGCTATAAAAGGTACATTGACATTTTTGAGCAGGTATTCACATTTCAGCAGTGGTGTTGTTTTGTTTTTGGGATCTAATGAGCCATCTCCAGGCGGCCTCCTCCTATGTGAGGTCCAGAGGCCACCACAAACCAACAGGCCCTATAATCAACCCTGGCTGTCACCACTTTGCATTCACCTCCAGCCAGGTCTCTCCCATCCTGTACTTAGCACAGTCTTTCATTGGCTACATTCCGTTCACACGTCACAGTCCAGTTTGAGAGTCACTGGCTTAGCTCACACACATATGTGACAAATATTGATCACGTTTAGTATTCAAGATAATCAGCCTGACTCATTGTGAATCCTATTATGGGAACAATTCATTCTTGACGCACCTCAAACCGAAGGTACATCTTATAGGGCAATCTTATGACCTAAGAAAGTGGGGCTTTTCACATCCTTTCTTGGGAATGGGGAAAAATCAGGACAAAAAGAGCCGGATTGTCTTCATGTGTGTACTCGGCCTAAGAGAACGAGTGATATTGAAAATCGATGGATGGAAGTACCGTATTTTCTGCACTATAAGGTGCTTGGGAGTATAAGGCGCAGCTACAATGCATGCCTATTTTAAAACTGTTTTCATATATAGGGCGCACCGCATTATAAGGTGCATAAAATAGAAGCTACAATAGTGGATGCGGTTGCATTATGCATCCACTAGATGGAGCTACACCAAAGGGAATCTCATACAATGCAGCTTTATTTATATGGAACTTTCACGACTGCTGAAGCGCTAACAAAGCGCTTGACAGAACGTATAAAATACTACGTCCAAGAAATCTGAATATTGATCCAAGGCACATGGGATTAAAAGGCGCACTGTCGGCTTTTGAGAAAATTTAATGCTTTTAGGTGCGCCTTGTAGTGCGGAAAATATGGTGTGGGTATATTTAAAGACAGGACCTTTATCCAACTTTTGAAATCACCACAAACTGTAAATGACAAGCACACTGCCTGGAGATGTGCTCTATGTTGTCTTTTTGGAGCGGGTGGGTACATATCTTCCCATTTCTTTTGGAGCTTCATTAAGCAAATTGAATATTGTTTTCACTGCAGCATCTTTGTCGTATAAACACAATTGAAGTAAACATTTTTTTTAAACTGGAACTCTTTGCTCTGCTTGCTAAAACTGTCGCTCTGATCCGCTGTCAATCATTCTGCCTGCTTGCGTTTTCCCTCCCCTCTCACCTGTTTGTCTTTTTTTTACCAGCGCTCCCAACTGAATCCGCCTCTCCCATTCTGCTGTTTTGCTCGCCTCGACTCTTTTATCTCATTCAGTCTTTCTTCCTCACATTTTTCTTTTTGTTCTCCGCTGTTTCCAGTGCTGCCTCGCTATGTTTTCCTCTCTCAGATCCCACTTTAAAACATCTGAGGGAGATCAGGAGAAAATTGGCCTTCGAAAACCTGCAGTTAAAGGCTCCAGTGCCCCGTTTGCTCTCCGGAGCTCGGTGCAACATTCCGAAACGTTCAGACCTAGTTCCTCCCTGTCTGAGAAACAAGTTGTTAGTCGTTGCACATGTCGGCTTTCCCACTTTGATGCATCGACCCCGTGTGAACTGCACAGCTGCCTTGCTCCCTTCATTATAAGAAGAGATACCAAAGAAAGTACATCATTTCAATCCGGATTCACGTTGTATGCTTAGGGTTCAAGGGTTTGTGCTGGAGTTGTAACGAGTCAGTGACCCTAATTTTGTACCCTTGACGTTTGACTTACATACATTTTTCACATGGACAGACTTATAACAAAAGCTCGGTCAGAAATGAGGTAGTTTTCTCTCATTGCTCATGAAAGGCTTTCTTTCTGACAGTCCCATATGACATGTTTTAAACAACACACGCGACATCAGCCTGCCGATCCGAAGAAAGTTGAAGTTCGTTTAGGCAAAAGGTGTGGCGGCATTTTTTTTTTAAAGTTTTTTTTTTTAAGGGGTTCTATATTGATGGTGGGGAATTACGGAAAGGAGAGCGGCTGGTAGAATTAAAAGGTATAAGCTTTTCTTGGCATCATCTTCTAAGGACAGAAATGGCTTTTCAAGTGACTTCCAGCGCTGCCGGCGACACTCTACAAAATATTCCTGGAGCTGTAGGAAAGGGCGCTGTCGCAAAAATAAGCACTTAATAGAAAAAGTGCAAAGCTTAGAGAGAGGGGGAAAAAAAGCTGTAAATCAAAGGGAAATTGCAGAGAGAAAAATGTAGGAAGAGAGGAGAGAAGTGCTCCCAGGCAAATCCTCGCCAAATAATTCATTTCTGACCTCCTTAGTAAGTAAATTTCCTAAATAAATAAAAGCAGTGCTTGAATGTCAGGAATGGGGATCGTGCCTTTGGCACTTTGTCGCTTGCAGTCTTGGCAGGCTTGTGGAGCGCTGTGTTTTCATTAGATGGGCCAAATAAATGGCTTCTCCTCCTTCCATTTTGAACTGTTTGATGTTTGGGGCGGGGTGGCAGAGGAGAGTGAAGAGAAGAGCAGCTTTTCTCAGGATTTAATATGTTAAAAGCCGCCTTTATTCGTGTGCAGGTGTGCAGAGGGGTCCGTTTGTGTGTGTGTGTGTGTGTGTGTGTGTGTGTGTGTGTGTGTGTGTGTGTGTGTGTGTGTGTGTGTGTGTGTGTGTGTGTGTGGTTTTGACGCCGCAAGGCCAGCCTGCCCTCAGAACAGATTGACTCCATATATAATTCATGGCCTCCAGCTGATCCAGTCCATCCAGCAACCTTCTTTGTCTGGCTCTTTTTCTGACACTTTCCGCCGCACTTCCTTGCGCACACGCAGAGCTTTTGGATTGATGGGTTGCCATCTTCACACTCCTCGTGGTCTCAGTGCATGTGCTGTCTCATCCAGTTAGCAGCGCTGGGAGGCTTCAGCCTGGCCTTTCACCACCCAGAAAGGATGCAAGGCGCTGCCGCTCCTGGAGACATGGGAGTCAGATGGTTGGCTGGCACCTCGTAACCATGGCGATATCTTGGCAACAGCACACCCGCCTGTGCATCAACACAAGGACAGGCTCCAGCATGCACTGACACATGCACATGCATTGCCCCACAGTGTATAAAAGGCCTTCTCTGTCCTTCCTACATATACATTGTGCATTTTGGCTGCGAGAGTGTTTATGGTCACATTTTGTGAAAGCAAGATACCAACTTGTAAATCTCTGGAACGCAGACCCACACCAAGGTTGAACTCCTGACTAAATTAAAAAGTAATTATCTCTTTGCAGGTTAGCAGGTTACTTTCTGTATGGTGTCTGGTTTTAGGCTGCATCTACACTGCAGGTCTACAAAAAAAAAAAAAAAAAAAGTGTTTGCTGTCTTCTCAAATTGTCACTTTTTTCGCATAGTTTCCCAATGTTGACTTAAATGTGCTCCCCCAGATTCTGAGCTCGTCTTCCTCGATCGATTATAGGGGACCCGAGCTCGGCTTCTCTGCCCATTTCACTCTGCCTCGCCTGTCTGCTTAGAGTCTCCCAATTTCCCACTCAAAGCCCAATTTAGCATTTTACATTTTGAAAAAGAGAGAAAACCTACAGAACAACATGTCCAACAACTCCGTGTCTGCGGCTGGCGTGTTTTCAAAAACATAAAGGATCGCAATTACCAGCAGCAGTTTTTTTATCATTTTGAACGCGTTTCAACAATTTGACCCATGACTTTTTTTTGTTTGTCTGGAACAATTGGTGGTGTGGCGTAACAAGTTCGAGGCCTGCAGTGGCAGAAATAGGCTGAGTCTCTCACATATATAAATACAGTATTACACAACACTAAACCTGACACTATGCACTGTAGAATACACTAAACTATAGAATTCTTATTTATTTATGACCATAACATGGATGTTTTTGGAATGTGGGAGGAAGCCAAAGAAAACATTCCTCTACCTGCGTGTTTGGTCTAATAGTTTGTGCATGCTGCTGGTGAGAATATTGCATATGATCTACTACCGCTGAAGAATTTCACCAGGGATAATTTCGGGGTTTGAAGTGATGGCATTGGAAGCATCAGTTGAAGAGGCATGCAAACTGTAATTTGGAACGACACACTCAAAAATTGCCACCTTGCACAAAAACAACCCAAAAGCAAAGAAATTGAGATTTTAAAGAGTTTTGTCATAAGTGATTTGGCATGACTCCTTCTTGTGACAGGCTCAAAGTCAGTCTCATTGATCATTCAGAAACTCGATAATTGTATCTCTGAATAGACAATATGTCGCAATAATGTTGGTGGCATTGCGTAAATCTTTACAATAGCCGAATTTTTTTCCCTGCTGCCTCTCATTTTTGCCTGCTGTGCATGCCAGTTTGCACCTGCCTTTCGGGTATGCTATTTAAAGACGCAAAAATCAGCCATCACTATTCGTCTCAGGTTGGATAAATCACATGGAGTGTGCTAAATTAATAGATTTGCATACTCTCATAGAATGTGCCAAATGAACTGTTTAGCAATTTTACCCATTGAGTAGATGTAGTCCTTTGGTGCCCTGTTAGCAGATCATCTTCCATTGTATTCTTCTATTGAAATAAGCAGTCAAGTTAGTGCCCATTTTTGCTTGCACAAACCTTCAGTAAATCAGGCCTATAGTGTAATGAAGATCTGATAGTGTCAGAAAATGAGCATTATTAGCTTTGCAAAGGTGAAATTCAATGTATGTGTCCCTTTACCATATCACACATTTGTTCGACCCACTGGAGACTTAATGCTTTTCTTACTTGTCTTCATTTACTTTTCTCAACCCCTCCACTGCTTTTTTTTCTTTCAAAGTCTCACTCCATCAACAATTTTTTTTCCCTCATTGGCGCAAAGGTTCCCGAGAGCAAGATGAATTCGTTTTGCTCATTCCCCATCCCCCCCTCCCTGATAGTTGTGCATGCATATATTAAGTGTGATTAAACACAGTGCAGTGTGTCCATCAAGTGCTCGCTAATGGCCTTTTTTTTATGACATGAATTAGTCATAATGGGAGAACGGCACAGTCAAAAGCTTCCAACCACTGTTGTTGTTGATTTGATTGTTTGACCGTTCGCATGAGACCATGTCTCCAATTGCTGTGAGTGGGTGCAGAAGCGAAGGAAAAATAGGTTCGAAGGCATTTAGTTGCAAAGAAAACATTTTTAATGCGAGGAGTGTAAAGATTGAAACATATATTTCTGTGCGTTGACTCACCCAGGGCTTATTAAGGAGCAGATAGGCAGCCAACCATTAAGAATTGGGGCCAGATAAGCATGGCTTTGGTGCTAGTTGGTGTTTTTTTTCTACAGGAGCACCCAGTATACCCCCCCGCCTCCCCCAACAGAGGGATTACATATGTATCATCACCCGTACTCTATGACTAATTACATCTGTGAGATGAGATTATAGGGAGGTTTACCATGCCAATCCCTCCTCTTAGGCTAAATGTATCAGTTCCAACATGAGGCATTACGCTGTGTATGAAACAGAGACAGATGCCAGTGAGAAATGATTTGATTGGTATCAATCCAAATATATTTTTTGCTCTTGTCGACAAGAAAAAAAAATCATAAAACCTCTGCTGGTGTTCTTCTGGACCTTATTTTTGTCCGTCTTCCAGTATTTTCCTTTTTCTTCTGAATTGAAGACCTTTTCTGTGTTTTCTTGCTCTTTATTACAGTGCATCTCTTGAGATAGAGCATTTTTTCTCTGCATCTTACATCATAACATTGGACTGCACTGTATGCATGCAACTCTGAAGTAAGGATTGCAAGTTTTCTCACCAAAAAATATGTTGTTAAGTTTTGCAGTGGAGCAGGGACACAAATTGATATCCCAGTTGACTGGCAACGCAGTGTAAAAGCAAATCCGTCCATCTTACAACGTGTTGTATGTGAGTTCCTTGCACGTTATTAAAAATGATTCATCGAAATATTAATGAGCAAGCCTCTATATCCATCGGTGGAAACTGTCACACAGGAAGTGCTCCCAAACATTTCATAATAACAAAAAGTTTAAAAAAAAAAGGTACTCTGACCTATAAAAAAAAAAGAAATCACCAGGAGTCCAAAACAACAAATATTTAATTAACTGAGGTTCGTGTCAATATATTTTTGCCGACATAGTCTTGTCTGTCTTAAGTCACATTTCATCGTATTTCCTCAACAGCTTTCCAATGACACCAATTACATGGTATGTAACATGATGTGACGATACATCCATCATGTTACATACCTTCCTCCTCTTTCTCTGAAAACGGCCGTGCAGGAAATAATCTTGTTTCAGACCTAGATAGGCCAAAATTGTTGCAAACTGTGTTCCCTTTCAACTTCTTCGTTAGTGGCTTTGGACTGCTCAGCGTGTCATGAAAGATGCATCCTTTCATCTCACCCCTCAGCCCCGCGACCACACACACACACACACACACACACACACACACACACACACACACACACACACACACACACACAACATTGCCATAGCAGGTTGCAGATAAGCCATTCGTATGTCACTTGCAACACTGCATGATGAGAAGAGGAAAGCTAAGGGGGGAAATTGAGCGGAATTGATTATTTTTTTCCATTGCCATGGAAACAAATAATATGAGCCTCTCCAAAAGCACACAGTAATTAGTTAAATTATGACTTGTGGGGAAGGGGAAGAGGATTTGCAGAGGAGATGGGAAGGGATCTTAGAAGAGATGCAGCTCAACCCCGCCGCAATCTTGTGGAGGAACAGTATTTGATCAGTGATATGTTGTCGACTCTTGGTGATAAATAAAAGTTCCCAAAGTCACAACAACAGCTTGCCAAATCTCATTTGTAGACAATCATGTGACGTATGTTCTTATGCCGTATTCCCAGTGATCCCATGACCTCCACAGCATACCATTTTCGCCTCACATTCAAGCTACTTTCTTACAAGACGATCACAAATAATCATCTCGTCCTGTTTTGTATAGGCAGGGCAGCTCTCAAGGACCGAGCATCAGCCAGCCAAGCACCACAGTCCCCTACAGCCGGCCAGCAGGCAACAATCTTTCAGCCGTGGGCAATGCACAAGGTCCAGCCTACAATGTGATGCCTTCAGGTAAGATTGCTTCATCCAATCGGCAGAGGGCGAATTCTATTGTCGTTGTTCTCAGCCAAAATGTGCACACCCGTCAAAGGTTTGACAATATGACCCAACGGTGTTTTTTTACAAAATGTTGCCAGTCCGTCATCTGTCATGTTCTTTGAGCCGCACTTTCGTCATCTCTTCCGTCAGTACATTTCACTGGTCCACGAGGCCGTCAGTCAGTCCGTCAGTCAGTTCCTCTGCCGTGCAGCATTTTACATGAATGTTGTCATTATACCTGTGTATCAGTTCCAAACTGCTATCTCGAGACCAGCTTTCCCGAGAAGGATTCTGACCTCTTTTACTCCCCCGACCTACTTCCTAATGCAATGTATAGAATACTGTGCAGGTTACTGGAATGGAAAGTTTTGGCCGCGGGTCAGGCCAATCGAGACGCCGCATGCGTTTATGTTGAATGTACAGAAAACACATCTCAGAGAATGAAGAGAAGGGTCGACGTTTTTGGGCCAATGCCACAACCACTTGGTGCGCAACAGTGGGTCTTTTTTTTTTTTTTTTTTTGCAGCGCTCACACTTTTCACCCAGAGAATATTAATGTATCAAAATTTTTTTCAGTCTTTCGCCTCGCCGCATTGTCGCTGAAGGCACCTCTGAGGGCATTGAATGAATTGCACCTTTTATTCGAAACCAAAATATTAGAATGTTTGATATTTGAGGAACTTGAAATAAGTACCAAGGTTTCGCAGCAGTCGTCTAGTTTGCCGCGGGAAGAGTGAAAAGCCATTAGTCTATTAAGTCGTACAGTGCTGCAGCGTCAAAGAAAAAAAAGCCTTTTTCTTTTGTCTTAGAAGAAAAATCTACAGCTTCCGCTAGCTATGAAATGTAGTCTTGACAATCTTTGCTCCTCTTCTATTTGAACCCAAAGGCAGTTACGCCGATGTCTTTGAAATGACTGTCTGTCAATGTGAATGCAAGCCCCGCCCCCATTACCCATTGTGGCACCACTTTGAAGGAGAACTTGCATTTGGATCTCTCCCAATCAAGTCAAAAGATTGCCCCCGCGCAGGCTTTATCTTGGGCAAACATCGTATTTGTTCCTTGGGCTTGTGAAGAAATAGCAGACAAACGTCAGAGCAACGCTTTGAGAGAGACAGCACGTCCAATACGATGAAAGGCGAATATCTGTGACGTCATACAAGTCGTTATTATGAAGCTTTCACACCTCACAAAGGAACTACCATTTGTTTCAGAAATGAATGAATCACACAAAACCAGCAGCAGCAGCAGCAGCAGCAGCAAGTCACTTGAGAAGGCGTTGAGCGATCATGGTAAAAATCATTGATCGATTCCTAATTTGTGTGAGGAAACTTTTCATTATTTGTCCTGCTTTCAGCATTTTCATGAAATGTTTTCATCATCCTTTTTGAAGGAGCCATTGGAATGTCTGAGGAGAGGGTGTTGAGCCCGGATGGGAAAATGAAAGCAGATGCAAAAGATGCCAATGGCTCTGCCAACGACACTCATAAACCAAAGGTAACAGAAATTATTTTTGTGCTTTATTTTTATTTTTTATTTTTTTTGCCCCTCACTTTTATCCTCTTTGTTTGCTCTCGGGCCCCTAATGAGTCCTGATCCACACATACGTCCTCAGCACAGTGGCTTGTTTCTCTGTTGTTGGTTTTTTTTCACCGTATTTAATGATTTGTTTAACATTTACTATTGCTAATGTTTTCCCCCCCGGTTTGTTTTGGCCGCCAACTGTCTCGAGCCGGTGTTTTGGCAGCCCAAGCTGAATACGAGAGCTTGGCATATGCAGTACACGCTCGGACATAAATGTGCAGAGACACACAAGAAGTCACACACACCATCCTTTGACTTAAACGTCATTTTTATTGCACGCAACCAAACACGTTGCAAATACGCCGACCTCTCATTTCGCCCCAGAGTTGCACCTTGACTTGGCTCAGCTCAGCAACAACAAAATGTGCTCTTTGCTCTTTCCTCCCCGCTCGCAATTGTTTTTCCGCACACATGCACCTCCATCGCATCCGCTACACGTCTTTCCACTCCAAATCCCTGTCTTTTCTTTTGCTGATTATGGTAGTAAGGGCTTTTTGAATTATTTAAAGGCATTCAGAGCAGCCGGAGAGACCTCTCGCGCTCCCAAAAGAGATGATCTGTCTGCCAGGGAATGAGTGCAGAAACACAAAGACAGAGAGATCCACAGAAGACAGACTCGGGGAAATCGAAAGCAGGGAAGATAAGCTTTTGCTGACTTGAACATTCCATATAAAGACCCGGAGCACTTGTCAAGCTGTTGTTTCGTCTAGAGCAAGTTTCTTACACACGCGCGCACACACAAAGTGGTGGGTGACACACACTGATGTCAATTAAATGGAGAGGAACTCATACCTGTTATTGAATTTGTATACCTATATACATGCAAATAACACAAATCTGTGTTATATTTACAACATAACTTGTGTATTTTCTTTCAAAAATACATTAACGGGCCCTCATTGCGTTGTTGTGCAATTTTACTGCAGACTAAAGCCAGTTATTTTAGTCAAAATTAACCAGCCCCCAAAAGCGCAATTTCGTTTATGTCGTTTTTATCGCCTCACCCTCATTAGATTGTGTGTGATGTCAGTTTCGATGCTCATTTACCGTCGAGCAAACTCAAAAACGCGCTTACCAATTTAGATTCGGTTCTCACAAAAGTTGAACATCACGTATCAACGTTTGATTACAGCGTTTCAAAATATGAATGGGAATGAATGTAAAATGTCCAGGTGATAGCCAGTTTTGAACCACGAACCAAATCATGAGATGGACAAAACCGTCTTCACTGTCAAGAAAGTTATAGCTTTCCCAACTGTCTGTCTGTCCGCCCCCCACATCAGCTACACGACGGTCACAATAACAGCACCGCCGGCGCCCAGCAGTGTGCGTCGCAGCCGGCCACGCCAGGCAGTGCTCTGCCCGTCTCCTCCCCGCTGTCACCCAGCCCAGCCAGCTTGTCCTCCTACCACGGAGATGATAGTGACAGCATAAGCAGCCCTCCTTGGCCCGTCAAGGCCCCTCCAAGCCCAGTAAGTACCTCAGCTTCAAACCATCAGTCGCATATACGCATGACAGGCGGACAGTTAGTATTGCTTTTTTCCTGTAATTTTATCATGTCATGTTTGTTGTACGTGGAGAATAAGAATAAGAAAACCTTTATTCATCTCACGATGGAGAAATTCCCAATTTACAGCAGCAAAGTTATGAAAGGAAGAAAGTAGAAGAACAAAAAGTATGGTCCAAATTATTCCTCAATCGATCAAACAAAAACAAAAGATTGTTCCGGCCATGTCACAGAAGGCCACTTTTTGTGAATGTGACGTGAATGTTCGAACTAACTACTTTCACCAAAGTGTGTTTTAGTCTGGCCGTATAAACCGAGAGCCCACTTCCCCATTGTGTAATTATGAGATGAAACTTAATGACTCCCATGGGGAGAGAGAATTGTTTAAGTACAAGGTACAGCAAATAGACTGTGTAATTGCATGTCTAGTATTATAGGAAATATAGGTCACTTCGGAAGCGAGAGGTATGACCATTTTTATGATTGTAGGAATAAGAGAGCTATATACATTAACTACCTGTTTAAAAGTCTTTCATTTTTCCATCTTCCTTTTTTGCCCTCCATTTTTTATTTTATTTTTGACAGAAAGCCAACCCAAACTCGTCAACGTCCGGCGGCGAGCGAGTCTCGCGACTGTACGAGCTAGGTGTGGAGCCAGAGAGACGGATATGGGTGGACCGCTATCTGTCCTTCATGGAGGACAGAGGAACTCCGGTTTCCCAGCTGCCAATTGTGGGGAAGAAGCCTCTGGATCTCTGGAAACTCTACATCGCTGTTCGGGAGATTGGAGGCCTTGCCATGGTAAATCTTGTTCGGATTGATGACAAACACCATCACGGAATCTTTTCAAACTGTATTCAATGGGATCAATCCAATACACTTTCCTGTCAATCTATATATCATGGGAGCTGTATTTAACACATGTATAGAACGGCACTGCAAATTAACTTTGGTTGCTTGGAACAGTGATTCCCAACACATACAAGAGTGCGCCATGAGAGAACCATCAGATGTGCAGTGGTCCATGTCTCCGTTTCCTCAAGGATGTACACTTCTGTAACTGGCTTTTCACCAGGATACCTGTCAAGTCCATCCAAAAGCTGCAATATATCCAAAACAGCCCTGTTGAGAGCCCGTAAAGACCAACAGATCATTCCCATCCTCTAACCACTGGATTGGCTCCCTGTTTCATCCCAGACCAATTACAAAATGTTGTTATTCACCCATAAATGCATCCATGGACCCACACCGACCTACCTCAAAGAGGTCATCACACCACAGCCCACTACCGGCGCCCTCGGATTCACAAACGCCTTGCTCCTCCAAGCCCCCCACTCCGAGGCTTGCCACCATGAGAGACCGAGTTTTTTGTGCAGCCGCACCACAACATTATTATATAAGATATTCAGCCTTCCAACCTAGGTGAGGGCTAACCTCAGCCTGGAGTCTTATAAATATGAGTTTAGCAGCAAAATCCACCCATTTTGAACTATCTCGGGGGGGGGGGGGGGGCTTCTGAATCTGATCCACTATTGGATTTTACTGCTGAACTCCATCCATCCATCCATTTAAAATAACATTTCAACATGTCGTCACCCTCCACAGGTAAACAAGAACAAGAAGTGGCGGGAACTGTCCACCACGCTGAGCGTGGGAACATCGAGCAGCTCAGCAAGCTCGCTCAAAAAGCACTATATCCAGTTCCTGTTTGCCTACGAGTGTAAGATGGAGCGAGGTGAAGAGCCTCCAGCCGACAGTAGCAGCAGCAGCAGTGGAAGCGTGGCTGCGGTGGACAGCAGGAAGCAAGTCAAGATCCAGCCTCCCTCACCTGGTAAGTCATGTTCAGTTCTCACCGGTCTCAGCCTCTTTCCCACCTGCATGCAACCCAGTGGTACGTCACAGACTATTTAAAAGTTCTGCATGCTCTCAGAAGAGCACTTCTAAGCCCATGAAATACTGTAAGGAAACAACTTTGATGAGACAATTTACCAGTTAATCAAGGTCAACTACGATACCAGCCCCATTTGGAGCTCAAACCTGAGACTTGCCTTTTATGGATTATTGTATGATTGAGGTCAAGGGAGGTTGTGTTTGGGTGACCTTTTGTATTTTTTGGTATTGTGAACAATTTTGACCTGAGGATCAGTCAGGGAGGGGTGTAGAGGAAAGAAGAGAGGTGGTGCATTCGGGGCACGCCTTTAATTTGCATCTGCGATGAGAAAGCTGACCCCAGCTTTTTAAAAGAATTTCAGAGTACTTCACCTGCATGAGATACTCCAGATTGGTTTTCTTGCTTGTGGAAAAGAGCTTTGACACGTACTGTAATGTACACGTGAACCACATACATGAACACGTATGGCTAAATAAATCTTCCCTTGTGTTTGTAATGCACCATAATTCAGCCTCCTCTCTTATGTGTTGTCCTAAAATATAAAAATATATATATATATATTTAAAATCATTGAATGGTACTATCAGAGTTCATAACTCCACGAGGCTTGGACCACATTGCTGACATAAAACAAAAATACATTTACAGTACATTTGGCTCATGTGATTATCCACATGAAAGGTGACCAACATGCTCTTGGCAAACTGGGACACTTTGCTTTGGTCCACCCGTCTTTTCTTTGTTATCAGAAATGACTTTGTTTCTCGTACACCATCATAACTGTGAGAAATGATCGGAAAAAAATATATTACTAATGAACTACTAATGAAATACAATAGTAATAATAGAAAAGGTGTTAACATAATTTTGGAACACTCCCAACATTTTTAATGCGGGTGGACCAGCCAGGATGCCATGTCCCTGCACTGTGCAATATTGTGCCCCCACCCAAAAAAATAAATAAATAAAAAAACAAACAAACAAACAAAATGCCTAAATTGTTCAATACATCAACTTTAATAAAAGAAGACTGTCTCTGATACTTATTGCGCCAATACCGTATTTTATTTGTACTTTATGAGCCATCTGCCCTCCAGAGTCCCTGCCAGTCTATTTATAGACTTGACAGTGCAGTGATGTCACAGATGGAGTGTGTCCAGCGGGCTGGTAGTAGGGAGAGTGAGTGTGTGTGTGTGTGTATGTGGAAGAGTGATTAATGAGGGCTGGAATGTATAATGTAAACAAACCTGACCTCCCCGTCACCTTTCATTCACAAAAGTGGCTCGGCTGACTGACTCCCACCCATCGCCCCTCCTCCCTTCCCCCCCTATCCCATTGGATTATGTCACCCGCTGAAAGACGAGCGCACGCACAACCCCAACGCACATGAAATGTCAACCACGTGACTCAAAGCGCACACATTTGTATTCCCCGCTGTCAATCTATCTCCCTCTAAATGTGGAGCAAAAGGGCACTTGAGTTCACACTCGCGTCCATCTCCCATCCACCTTCTTCACCTCACGGCTGAATATTCTGCATCGAGCCTGTCTGCTCTTAAAGAAAGTTTTGAACCTTGGTTAAAGCCGGCATTGTTTACATGTGGGACGGGAGCGTGCTCCTCTTCCGGCCAAGAATAATGCTTCCACCTCTCCCATCATGATGCCACAACCATCTCTCCCTCTATTTCAGCCTCTCTTTTTCCTTCTCTCGATCACCTACCATGTAGACGCAGGGGACGTTGTTGAATAATTTAGAATTAGTATGAATTTTTAAAGCTTTAGCCTGTGTTTTTTTTTTCTACTGGAAATGTGCGGTGCAGTAATAGGCCACCAAAGCTGTTCCAGTGGAAGGCTTCTTACGCTAAATGCTCATTAGGCTGTTTTCATATCCTCTCTTTGTCTTTGTCATCTTTTTAGCAGAGCGGTCCTCCTTTTCCATTAAACTTGCTTCAGGGAATTCGTATCCCTTGGTTTTATGAGCTTGTGTTGCCAGGCTCTTGTGTCTCTTTACTCATTGAATTCAGAGAATGGTGGCGTTGTAACAACTAAGTAGGCTAACCCGGTTTTACCTTTGTTCTATTGTCTATTATAACTCCTTACCTAGGAAGTACGTAATTTTTTTTCAATAGGGTATTACAGATTTTAATACGTTTGTTTATCGCAGCATAGTGATTCACTTACAAAGGACATCCGTGTCGTGGGATCAGTTCCTGCTCGTTCTTCATAATCACCCCGTGATTGACTTGCAACCCACCAGGAGCATAGGCTGAGTTCAACGCTTCCATTTCGTCGGATCAGGTTGTCATTTGTTTTGCTTATGGAGCACCTTACGACGCTGAAAACAAATGGTGTGTGGAATTTACTCAATTTTACTTCGCCAAATGGCTGCACGAAAAATAAAATCATCTGGATCCTGATGCTTTTTGGAAGTGGATATATAGTGCACTTCAAAATGTATCTGGGTCCAGAAGGTTTTATTTTGTGCAGCATCTTGACAAAGTAAAACTACATCATAAAATTGAGTAAATTCAACCAATATTTTTTCAGTGTCGCCAAAAGGAAGGAAAATGTCATCTACATCTTATCCAAGATGAACAAAACAAAATGTGAAAAAGCAGGTGCCAGGCTTCATCTTATTGAGCACTGACAATATTAACTCCACAATTAATGACGTATTGTTTATATTTTTTTTTCTTTTTGCTTTTTGCAGTTAATGGATGTAAAGTATATTCATTTGTCATTTACATGATGAGGGCTATGCATGAAGCCAATTGACTTCAGCACCTCAATCTTTGCTACTCCTACACTTCAATTAATGGACAATATTTTTTTCAACTTCAGAAGAAATTGTAATCAGTCGAACAGCGTGTGGTGTGATTGAAGGTTGCGCTGTGATTTTCCCTTCATATGGGCCCAAAGGTCTTTGCCGTTCCTTCAGAGAAATTCATCTCTGTGGTTTTCAACTGCTCTTCTCTTCCTCCATCGGCCCCTCGTGACCCGCCATGTTGTTCCCATGTACTGATGGCCATATGTGGGCTGTTTTGCTTCAGCTCACTTCTCATGTAGGTCATTCCTGCCAGCGCTTTGGCCTCAATTCCAAAGTATTGTCTCTAATACAGAACCTCTGTCCAACCAAAGCCCACAGTCGGGAGTTTTGTGAACAAGCAAGCTGACTTACGTTTATAATCGTTGCAGTTTAAGCTAATGACATAACTCTAGCTACGGTCGTAACATCCCGTAATCTCAATCTTCCAGCAAACTCAGGCGGCTCCCTACAAGGTCCACAGACGCCGCTATCGTCTGGCAGCAGTTCCACTGCAGAAGGTCCAGTGGACCTCTTACCCCCCATCCGTGCGACCACCCCTCTTGGACAGGGCACACCTGTGCCTTCAAACAGGTACCTTAAATCATACTTTACTCTCTCTCTACATCGAATGGCAAAAATGTTATTTGTAGCTAGCGGTACATTCAGTGCCTTTTTCACTGCATGTAGCAGCAGTCATCATTCACTACACTTCACATTTAATGTAAGCACTTTCCCTGTAAAATACCTTTTGACACTTCCAAATTGATGCGTATCTCATGAAAGGAAGGAGGAGGTGATTTACAGACCTAAAGGTCACACGAGACGGATGTGAGGAAGCCTGCGGTACACTTGATCAGTTATGATTTGAAGATGAAGTAAAGCTCGTATTTCACTTGACTGCATTTGAGGATATTAGTCTCGCAAAAGGCATACCGCCTCCTGTGCTCCTTGACTTTTTTAGTAGGTAGAGGTGTAGTCGTTCATGCCAACAATAAAATAAATGTTTTTATAGTATGGGCAGCAGGTGGTTTTTACACGCTAATAATGAAAATAATACAATAAATTATGCAATTATGTAATCACAATGCGTAATTGATCAATTGTATGCATTTATGGGTCCATAATGCTCCCATAAAATGACATGTTGACCTTATTTTTGATGTTGAGTCGTTCCACACATCGGCCTCTCTTTTCTTAGATAGCGCTTCTGCAGCGGAGCGCAAATGCCGGCGAATACTGATTTTTGTGCAAGTGCGAGGCTCACCGCAAACCGATCTGCGCCAACTATGCTTTGTGGCACAACAGAGGACGTGTCCTTGAAGATGAGCATGGCCGAGTGACAATTTAGGAGCAGAATGTTAATCTAAATTTACACCTGCTCAGACCACAGCTAAGTTTTGCCGCAGGATGGGCTGCTGGTGTCTTGCCGTTCTGGTTCATTTTGACCGGGGCGCAGGCGGACTGATACCGAGCTCCACCGACATAAAGTCGCCAGCGGTTGTATTTACGGGTAGTCCGTTACCTTGCATGTTACCACGTCATGCGAGGCTTGTGAGCGCGCCACATTTCAAGGAAATGAAAGGAGCTGCTTAGATTGGTGGTCAGTGAATTCGGCTGTTAACAGTCAAGACAATGGTGCAACCCGCCCACAGTCAGCTGGCCTACATTTATTTACGAAATGAACAACACCAGTCTAGCCCGCTGCGCCAGATTTATGCCATTCAGAAAAATCTAGCCCAATGTGTATTTTGTCAGCTCAATGCAAAAATATTAAGATGACCCAATATAATTTGGGGGTGAGTAAATAACAAAATACAATGTGTACAGGCTGGCATACAAATGATAAAAAATTATATTCCATGCAATGGTACACATTCCATCCACAGTTCCTGCTCCCACTTTACTCCTCTCCTTGTTGTGCCTCTATTCCTAAATCCCTTCCCTTTCCAGGAGCAGCGTGAGTGTGCAGGATCCCTTCTCAGAAGTCAGTGACCCAGCTTTCCAGAAGCGGGCTGCCTCTCTGCCACCCTCTGCTTCATACCAGCAAGGCCTCGGCATGCCTGACATGATGATGAGGATGCAATACGATGCCAAGGACCCCTTTGCCGGCATGAGGAAGAGTGAGTGAGGCCAACGCAAAGCACATCGCAATACAGACGTTGTTCTTTGTTGAAAAATTGGATCAGAAGCTTGTATTGCTGCTAACGAGACAAAACTACATTGCGCACATGATACCAAAAAAAAATAAATAAATAATAAAATCATTCCAATCAGTTCAATTCAGGTTATCACACACACACCTTCACAAATTACATCAGTGGCGCAATTGAAATGCACCTTCCGAAACCTAAGGAGGAATGGCGTTTGAATGAATGCTAATATTTTGATGGATGTTAGGTGCATACATGAGACAGTAGTGCTTATCTGCCTCACGGATCGGACCTTCTGGATTCAGCTGGACTTGGCTCCTAGCTCACCTGCGACCCCAATGCGGACAACATAGAACATGAATAGTTGGACTTGACAGACCTACCGAATAACAGAATCAGATTGATGCTATTGTCAATGGATCCGTGGATCAGTTAGTGTAGCAGCAGTAACATTTTTTGTTATTTTTTTGTTTTGTTTTTTTACACAAAATTTACAACGTCAAGGCAAAATAAAAAGGGTGTGTTTAGATTATTTAGAGAACATAAGATAGTATGTAATAGTCCCTGTAGGTAGAGGTCAGAGTTTGAAGAGTTCAGAGGAAGAACACGCTGGGGGACAAAAGCTAATCGCTGGGTGTCGAATGCCAAAAACAGTCCCGACCAATGAGCAAATTGAGAAACTGGTGAATATTTATTAGGGAATGCTGCCATCTGCTGGCGTGCGGGCGTCACGACTCAATTGTAAAACGCATTTTAGGCCATATGACATATTTATTTCCTCGAAATATATGTCAAAATAAATATTGTTTTACTCGCAGAATCTACATTTCTATAAATACGTCGGAATTTGTAGATGTGACATACCCATAACCATATGTTTACCTCTTGATTTTGTTCCCCCTCAGTGGCAGGAGCAGATCCCTACATGCCTGGCCAGATGCCGCCTGGAGGCGTGCAGGACGTGTACGGACGGCCCCCAGCAGCCCTTAATATAAGTCAACGCTCGCAGTATCCATACGGACCAGGCTATGACAGGAGGTGAGCATTAGAGACAGACCAAGATGTACATGAACCTGTAATATCTCTCTGTCATGCGAAGTCTTTGTGCGGATCGACAGTGGAATCTCTAAATTGTAAGTCCGGTTGACACAGTTTTTCTCATAGGGGAGAATGGAATGTGAATTCCTCTCTTCCCGGGATAACAAATCAAAGAGTAAAAAGCATTAAGTGTTCATGTAAATGTAAATGATGAATTGTAATGGACATGGCATCTCATCCCTGAAAATTCTTTTCATATTCCAAGGTTGTATGACCTCAGGTTCCCCTCGACTTTAGAGGTTCCACTGTTTGTCGGTAGAGGCATGAAAACCTTAACTGTTGTTTACTCGCCAGACCGGACCACTTGATGGAGATGGAGGGGGGCTTGGGTCCACCTGGCAGTCAGAACAGCATGGCACCTCACAGTGAGGGTAACATGTATTCTTCCAGCCGATATGCTTCACAGCAGAGGTCAGAACCTGGGTGTGATGTCATAGTTTTGCCATATGTTGGGTTTTTGTCACAGTATAGAAAGTCATTGCCAATTGTTTTCTATTGAAGACATGATGGCTACAGTCCGCAGTATCCTGGCATGCCGTATGGGATGCATCCTTCTGGGATGTACCAACAGCAACAGGTGAGATGCCTCAATATCTATTAACTTTCATCTATAATGAAAAAGTGTACCGGTAATTACAGAAGCCTTTTTGCTTCAAAATGATTTTATGAACGTGATACTTTTGTTTCAAGTAACTCAATAGGAAACCACACCCCGACAACGTTTTGCCTTTGGATTTGGGCTGCAGTTTTCAGTTTTCCGCAATCATATTCTGAACATTTACATACACAGTATGACCAAAAGTATTCACTCACCCATTCAAATAATCAGAATAAGGTGTTACAATCACTTCCGTGGCCACGGGTATATACAATCAAGCACCGAGGCATGCATGCTGTTTTTTTCTGACATGTAATAGACCCAACCACTCCATCTTAGTTCATAACGTTGGTCCGTTTTTATGCTGTCACTTTAAAATAACGTCGTATTTGAAGAAAGGGATGGAAAAACTTGATTTGGTTGTTGTCCTATTCGATTGATAAAATAGTCAACAGATTAATCAATGATTAAAATAATCGTTGCAGCCCCAATATACTCGATAGCAGTGTTTTTCAACCCGTGTGCCGCGGCACACCAACATTGTCGGGTGTGCCGCGGGAAAATATCCAATTTGTATGCCTGTGCAGTCTATCGCCCAGAAAGTAATCATGTAGTACCATCTCATACCGCTAGAGAGCAGCAACAGCTAGCCAATTGCCTTGTGTTTAGACGAGAGGCAAGCAAATTTGTGACGCATGAATGCAGGACGACGATGAAACAACAAATATGAAAGATGAGAAAATACTTTTTTCTTTGTATTCATTTGATTCCAATTCAAGCTGTTATAACGTCATTCTTCAACGTTAAAAACGGTTAGAGTAACAATTCTGTATAACACGTTCATGATTCAAATTAGCATTTTTTTTCACCTTTTGTATAACACATTCATTATTCAAATTAGCATTTTTTTTTCACCTTTTTAGCTTGTGGTGTGCCGCGAGATTTTAACAATGAAAGAAGTGTGCCTTGGCTCAAAAAAGTTTGAAAAACACTGCTCTATACACCGTACATATGTACTGTATGTATGTATACGCACAATGTTAATTGTGAAGTTGGTCACAAAGAAATGACATACATGATTACAAATGGTTGTGCGTTGAAAGTGTATTGCTCACTCACACCCACCTTTGCTCAAGCAGGGCTACAAACGATCCATGGACGGTATGTATGGTCCTCCACCCAAGAGGCATGAGAGTGAGATGTACGGAATGCACTACTCCAACCAGCAGGCAGAGATGTATAATCACTACGGCGGGGGCTATTCAGGCCCAGATCACCGACCCATCCAAGGGCAGTTCCCTTACCCTTACCCCCGCGATCGTATGGGTTCTTCAGTGCCAAGCCAGCATGGAATAATGGGCGGGGGGCCTCCTCCGAACCACACCGCCGATGGTCCCAACATGTGGCCATCCAGGACAGACCTCGGTTATCCCTATCCCAATCGACAAGGACACCCATCCCAAATGCCCCCTTACGGCTCAATTGGCAGAGATGACATGGATGGGCGACCGGGGCAGGATCAATGGCATCGGCAGTCTCCTTACATGACATCATCAGGCGGTATGCCTCCATTTTCATCCCGCCACCCGCCATCCGCTTATTCCAACTCACAATCCATGGCAAACCACCTGCCCAGAGCTCCCAGTCCGGGATCTTTCCAACGCGCCTTGGACTCTCGCGCGTCACCCAGCAAAGCCGCTTTCCTGTCAGCCATGAAGATGTCAAAGCCTGGGATGTCCATGATGGGCTCTCAGGGATGTGGACCTCTGAGTCAGTTCCCTCACAACCTGAGAAGGGACCTCAACAACCCACCGGGATCCGTGGAGGGCACCATGCCAATTCTCAGGCCTCGACGCAAGCTTACCTCCAAGGACACAGGTGACGCACATCATTCGTTCGAAACATTGAATGAATTGATTATCTTGTCCATCCCTAGTTTCTGTCTGACGGTGTTAACCAACATTTGCAAACCAACTACTGTTCCAACGACAATTTTTCCCCTGTGGTTGTCATCTCAGGAATGCCCGAGGCCTGGCGTGTGATGATGTCGCTGAAATCTGGCCTCCTAGCAGAGAGCACATGGGCGCTTGATACCATCAACATTCTGCTTTATGATGACAGTACCGTTGCTTCGTTTAATCTCTCCCAGGTAAAGCAATCTCTTAACAACACTTCACGGATGTCCTCCTCCTCAAATCAAATTTGAAACATATCAGAAGCCACAAATGGAGAGCATGTTGTTCGAACACTCAAACAAAACAAAAACAAACATCTTTAATGTTTTTGTTGATTTTCACAGATTCCTGCTCACAATTGACGTTTTCATTTTCTGTCTGTATAGTTGCCTGGCTTCCTGGAGCTCATCGTCGAGTACTTCCGCCGGTGCCTGATTGAGATCTTTGGAATCCTGCAAGAGTTTGAAGTAGGGACGGTGACAAAGGAAAGCTTGTCGGACCTCAACTGCGACCAGAAAGAAAAAACTATCTTGGACAGTGAAATCAAACCCGCGGTACAAGCTACATCTGAATCGATCCCAGCTCTTGTAGTGCCGGAGGAACTACCAGGAAACACTATGAAGGAATATCTTGCTGTTACTGGAGAGCCCCTTTCAGCTGATGGGATCAATAAACCAGATCAGTGTGTACAAAAAGATGGAGACAAAGACACGAAAGCAGAGGGGAAAAGTGAGCATGATGTTGAGCTGCCTGCAATGGAAATAGAACCAAAACCCAAACAAGCTAGCAAATATGATAAGTTCCCCATCACCATTGTTCACAAAGACGACCTGAGTGAAGACATGACAGAAGACCTTGTCGAGTTCACGAGTGGGCTGCTCCACTGGCAAGCTGGTGGAGGCGACACCACGGCTCACATTCAGACCTACTTTGAGCCCCGCCGTGAGCCACCCAACAGAGCGCAGGACAAGATGCTCAAAGAAAGCAGGGAGGTCGACGAAGAGGAGGAACCGAGGAAACGTATCACGGCTACCATTGATGACGTCCTGTGCGCGCGCGTCGACGCCCTTTCAAACGCCCACCCCGCTCGCTCGCTGCCGTCCTACCCTTTCCGGGTGCATCCGGATGGTGAGCAGGACCACATCACCTTGCTGGAGGATGAACCACGATGCCTGGATGAAACCCCGCTGTCCACAAGCTCCGCCTGGCAGGACTCGTTAGCCAAACGCTGCCTCTGCATCTCCAACATCGTCCGCGGCTTGTCCTTCATCCCGGGGAACGACTCGGATATGTCGAGACATCCCGCTCTGGTTCTTCTTCTGGGCAAGCTCCTCTTGCTGCACCATCAGCACCCTGAGAGGACCAGGTCGTCCCCCAGCTATCAAAGAGATGATCAGCAGGACAAGGGGCTGTCCAGCAGTAAATACGAGTGGTGGTGGGAGTGTCTGAGTCAGCTCAGGGAGAATGCAATGGTCACCCTGGCTAATATCGCAGGCCAGCTGGATCTCTCCACTTACGCCGATACCATCTGCTTTCCCATCTTGGACGGCCTCCTCCACTGGATGGTGTGCCCTTCGGCCGAAGCCCAGGACCCCTTCCCTTCGTCGGTGGCCTACTCCCAACTCACCCCTCAGAGGCTGGTTCTGGAGTGCCTTTGCAAGCTGAGCATCCAGGAAGGTAACGTGGACCTCCTCCTTGCCACGCCTCCTTTCAGTCGACAAGAGAAGCTCTTCACAGTACTGGTCCGCTACGTCGGTCAGAGAAAGGCCCAAGTGTACAGGGAGATGGCAGTGGCCATCACCTCCCACCTGGCACAGGGAGACCCAACCGCGGCACGTGTCATAGCCATGCAGAAAGGCAGCGTCGGTAATTTGGTCTCCTTTTTAGAGGATGGCGTCAGCATGGCCCAGTACCAGCATAACCCTCACAGCTTATTGCACATGGGACACCCGCACATGGATCCACCGAGTGTGAGCATGTTGTGTAGAGCAGCGAAAGGCCTGTTGGCCATGGCCAAAGTGGAGGAGAACAAAACTGAATTTGTGCTCTACGAAAGCAGATTGTTAGACATTTCCATTTCTTCCGTATTGAACGCTGGAGTAGTGGCGATTATTTGCCAGGTTCTCTTTCACCTCGGGAAATTATGACAGGAGCAGAGGCAAGACTTTGTTGGCAGACATTAAGGTGGACAGACTGTTTCACTTGTTTTGCTATTTTTATTCATCAAACTGATAAAACGTGTTTTTTTTTTGTTTGTTTTTTTAATTATTCCACTTAAAACAGAATATCTATGTACCGTATGCCCTCTCAGCCCTGTTGTGGGGTTGGTTTCATTTTAATATAAATATTTAATACCTGCTGGTGTTGGTCATTGCTAATTACGTTTGACATTTGTTTACTTTTTTCACCCAAAGCTATCACCAGATTTTGGTGCTGACTTTCATCGAAGAGTTTCTTTTCGGTTTTATAAAAGTTAAAATATGCTCATCTACGTTTTGTTAATGGAGAGTATTTATTTAAAAATGTGACACTGTACAGGAGTTTGAACTTTTTATCAGCCCTTGTGGGAAAAATAACACACTGACTGATTTGAGATCTTTATGTCTCGGTCGCTGGAAGAGAACTTGTGCAATAGGACTAGAACAAGTGGTCCCTTCTATGAACCTGATGATAAAAACACACCTGCAGTGTGTATTTTAGGCCACAAGGAGGCAGCTTGCACCCACTAATCAGCTTGAGAGAAGTGCACCTGTCAAAAAAAAAAAAAAAGAGAAACGTCTAATTTATTAATCATTGCCTCAACGACTTTCGAACTTTTGTCTCATCTATGCTCGTTACATCTTGTCTGTATTGTTTCATCACTGTATACAAACTGTACGACGGAGGCACATGGTTCCTTCCATCTCAATCAAGCATAGCAAGAACTGGGACGATGAACAAACGCTTTTATTGTTGTTCAACATTTGTTATTGTTACTATGAGTATTTTGTTAATGGGGTCTGATATTCGAACATGGTAACCAATGTTTCAATGTAAAAAAAAAAAAAGAATAAGAAGAATAATGATAAAAGCCTGTATGCATTGTATTATAGCTGAGAAAACAATCGCTTTGGTAATCAAACATGAAAAGTGCCAGGGTGAGAGGATACATAGTCGAGGTTATATTAAGAGTACCGAACACATTTCTTTTTGGTAACGTCCTCCATTCACATTAGTGGGCATATTTTGGAATGCTCTATAAAAAGAAATATGTTACCTACAAGATGGTTAAAAATGCTCATTGTAAAATTGGCCTTTTTTCATATGCCTACAGTATGTCTCTTTTATCCGGTATATACATTTATACTCTGTGCTGCACATGTCACAAATAAATGTACGATGAACATCACCAAGCATCACAGATATCGCATTATGTTCCGACAATCTACAGGCCGAGAAAACATTAGCTGTCTCCAGAGGTGTGAAGTGGTATCTATCTTTCCTTGGAGTGTTTGTTTTTCAGCACACTTCTCCGTTCATTAAATTTCCATGAAATATCAGAATCATCTTTTTTGTATATGTACTTTCTACTCCTTACACGTAAAAAAAAAAAACTTGCACTATTTTGTGTTTTTGCATTTTTCAAAACCACTTTTAAAAACAAGCCTATCCGGATAAAGCGCACAAGGGCCGAGTGATTTTGATTGTGGTTGGATGAGAAGTAGAAACACTACCATGGCAACGCCTTATTGGTTTGGCCGTACCTGTAAGAGTTGTTCAAAATGTGGTCATCTTCAATGGGCATATATGCAGCTGAAACACAGAGCCTTCACCCTAACATTTTAGTGTAGTCATTGTTCTGGGGAAGGAGCGGTAGTACACAGAAGGCCTCTGCGGTGCATCTTAAGCTTTTGTCTTTAGGGATTTTTTTTCGTCCTGTTACCTTTATATTTTAAGTACTTTTGAAACTATTGCTTTTACTTGAGTACAAAATCCGCACAGAAGGCCTCTGTGATGCATCTTAAGCTTTTGTCTTATTAGGGATTTTTTTTCCTCCTGTTACCTTTATATTTTAAGTAGTTTTGAAACTATTGCTTTTACTTGAGTACAAAATCCGTTAATTGGACGTGTTGGTCGTGTGTGTGTAAATTTTACTTTCTTATGTAAATTAATTGTTTTCAATTAGGCCTATCATATATTCTTTTTTTTTTTTTTTTTACACTGAATACTGTTTACTTATTCTTTGTTGTACAGTAGCGCAATAAAATGTTTTTGGAATGTGGAGGAAGAACCCGGAGAAAACCCACGCAGGCACGGGGAGAACATGCAAACGCTACACAGGAAGGCCGGAGCCGGAATCGAACCTTGGACCTCTGCACTGTGAGGCCGGCGTACGAACCACTCACTACCGTGCCGCCCATAGAAGAAATTATGAAAGTTGACATTGACATTTCAGTCAGCATAAAACCTTCAGTCTGATAGACAGGGAACAAAATGTCAGTTAAGGCCTACTAGAACGGCTGAAATGTATTTGCGGTTAATCAAATGCACTTTAAGTTGTGGCTAATGTGAGCTGACTCATAATTAACATGAGTTTGAATGTGAGTGGTTATTTCTGAACGTGCCACATCCCACTTAGAAGAGGGTGTGCCCATGTGCAACCACATTATCTCAGTTGTTGTTTTTTTTTGACATTGCCTCTTGAAGAGATATTGAAAAAAAATGGATGTACAGGTTATCGGTGACATGATGGAAAAATGGTTTCAAATGATTTAAAAGTATCACTTTTTTATCTCTCCAAAATCTGACATTTAAACAATTGCTTGTAGACTTGTTATATCAACTGTATACAAAACCCGATCGGCTTCAGACTGGCATTAATCTCATCCTGCCTAGCCTACTCAGATCAGAAGGGTAATGTCACACAGCATGCCCTCAGTGGCTTCAGCCTGGGCATTAATCTCATCCTGCCTTGCCTCCTGAGATCAGAAGGGTAATGTCACACAGCATGCCCTCAGGTTCCTCGACTACATTGTATGTAAATTTGAAAATAAAACTAAAAAATATTCTACAACACTATACAAAGATGTCAAATCCAGGTCCAGAAAGTAAAAACCCTGCAGCAGGCAGTTAAGGGACTGTTTGAGCAAAGACGCCCGTGGCCACAGTCAAACTATGGCAGTGTTTTTACTTTCTGGACCTAGATTTGACAGCTCTGCAAGATACAGTCTTATCTTAATAGAGCTGCTTAACGCAGTCATTTCTTCAGGGTAATTAAAATTTCAAAATCTCTTAAGAAACACTTCAGCTCTCCCCTTACCTATTTACGACAGTTTTGTATTATCACATGATCATCCCTGCAATTAGCTGGCAACCAGTTCAAGGTGCCCCCCCCACCCCCCACCAACTGCCCGAGGACAGCTCGGCTAGGCTCCAGCCGCGACCCTCGTGAGGATAAATTGGATCAGAAAATGGATGGATGGATGGATGGATGGACATTATCATCCAACTCGTACAAGAAGATAAAATGGGTGTGGGGCATAGAATACAGTCAAGAAATGAAAAGTTGTGGTAAAACTTGCCACTCCCTTTCTTTTTATGAGCTTGATCCAGCACTGAATGACACTTTAATGACATTTCTGTTTTGTATCAGCGTAAATGTTCATGCCCCCAGCTATTCATGTGCAGTGCTGTTTTATGACAAAGATCCAATTCAGCTTTCTAACAGTTCAAGAAAGAAACCCAGTGAGTCATTTTTGCATCAAGGAACCCTGGCCAACCCTTGTGGCTGACAGAAAAGCTCGTCCGCTGCCAGGATTAAAACTGTAAATCTTGCCTGCATGCTTGAGGGTCACGATCATGAACCACAGATATCACACTGCTATCTCTTCTAACCAAATAACCGAAAGGTGAAAAACACATCTCGGTGTGATGTTGGAAAATAAATCCTACAAGAATTCAGTAATCTTCCTGACAACGATTATCGCTATATTTATAAAGAAAGCATGTTTGATACAGTTCCTGTATTTGCATAATTCGTTTCTAGTAGTAGCACCCTCAAGATAATCTGTTATGGTAGGATATCACATCATATGCTGCATGCGGTGGTTCATAATAAGATTCATAATCCATCATACAACTCCTCGCGACACTCTAACGGCACTTTGTAATTGTGCTAGATTATTTCCTTCAGTTGATCTGTATGGCTGTGTTTTCTGTTTTTGATGGAATTCATCTGCCCTGCCCTTTGTCAATCCTAGGATGGTTTTAATAACGGCATTTCTAAGGATGACAACACCCATTAAGTGCCTCACAGACTGTGTTTTAAAGAAGGAAACCAGAGCTGCAGAACAGGTATTATCACGTGGGAAGAATTATAAAAAACAAGCTGACTGCATAAAACTAATTACAGTATTCCCGAGTGTACTTTTACTTCATGTCGTGCAGATATAGAAGGTGAATACGTGTACACAAATGAGGCCGTATTATTCAGTTCATAATGAGACCTATGACCTGTATAATTAAATGAAGATTTTGAAATCTGCTGGCACAACGCCATAGTGCTTCGCATGTCTTGTTCTCATTCAAGAGATCGGCGTTTGAATCGACATTGGAATCTCTCTATGTGGCTTCCACCCTCATTCCTAAACCATGCCTCTGAGTGATTTCAGAATGTACATTTTCCATGGGTGTGGATGGCTATTTTTTCTATATGGGTGATGCAATTGACAGGCAACCATGTTTAAGGTGTAGCCTGCTTTTCTCCTGAGGTCAGCTGAGTAACAAGGAGCCACTATGCAAAATAGAGAGAGGCAAAATGTCACAAAATTTGGACAAATTCTCCAAAGTCAAAATATCCATAAACATTTTGCCCTCCGATGACTAGTTGGACTATTATTTAACACGGAAGTCTCCAACAGTTGACCCGCAGGCCATTTGGTACGTCGGAAAAAAAGTTTTGTGACTTTTTTCATACATATGTATCTCACACATATATAGTTAAATATATATAGTTAAATATATATCAAATACAGACCCACTCATTTTAGTGTTCCCCTGTCATTTGTGTTTCACGTAGGCAGACGACAAACAGGAGAAAACCTCCTCCACTTCTTTGCCTCTGAGAAGCTGAGTCACCATACTCTGAATCTGCGGATGTGATCGCGAAGAGAATGCTGCGCTTGGTAACCTGTAGGTAAACTGTCTTGCTGCCTCTCACCACCAGTGGAGGTAGATGTGTGAGTAATTGGTGAAGGATGATGAGGTTCACAAGTCAGGTTGCACCCACTGAGAAACGTAATCTGTTCTTTCATTGTGCCCAATCTAAAGCAATAATTCTTGGGTGCCATTAAGCCACACGTTGTTTTGGAATACCCACTCAAAATCTCCAGCCATTACCTGCAACACAAACAATGTGAACATTTTAGTAATGAAGGCATGCAGCGCTTTGACATCTACGTTGATACACATCCTTAAAAGTGATCCATGACCTTCACAATGTTATGGTAGCAGTTGTATCAAGGCATGGGGGATCCAAATACTGACAATGAAACAAGGTTGAGATAGCAAATCTCTAACCAAGGTTTACAATGGTACTTCAAAATGAGAAACAAAAAACAGACACCAAAACATCAGAGGCAGCTACCAAAACAGCATACCAATGACAAGGAACCAAAAAGACCTGATCTTGAGGAACTGATTAGCTAACACAAGGAGCATGGCAGATAGCAAGGGCAGACGACCCACTCACCCCAATGTGCTGTCCCTATGTGATCCAACACAGGAATTCACATACACTATGCTCATTTTAGTAGGAAACTTCCATCGAGGACTGTAGTGTGTGTGTGTGTGTGTGTGTGTGTGTGTGTGTGTGTGTGTGTGTGTGTGTGTGTGTGTGTGTGTGTGTGTGTGTGTGTGTGTCTAAAAGATCCAAAGTGTGTGAAATAACAGACAGATGAAGCTGGTGATGCAATCAGTCGCACGAAAGGGGGTGGCACCGGAAATTGCAGCAACACAACCACTGCTGCATTTGGCATCGATGTAGGACTATTTGGTAACTGCCTGAATAATTTCTAGGTATTCTCTTTTCATTCTGTGTGATTTTTGCGCTCAAAACCAAAGTCCAACGATAAATCGAGATCAGATCATCCACTGTAAAATGCAATGTACACAAATAAATATCACACTTATTTCTCCTGAAAAAAGCAGCCATTTGTAGCAGCAGTTATCTTTACTATCGCGACATTGACACCAAACAGTACAGTTTCATTCATGACATCACAATTTATTTAGCATTTCCACTGGGGCCCGACCGATGTTGATTTTTGTTAGGCCGATGCAATTCCGACATTGGGCAGGATAAAATTCCGATATCCGATTAGTTGGCCAATTAATTAAAAAATATGAGCT